ACCAGGTGGAGGCGGTAATGTGACGTTGTTCCGGCTGCAGCGCAGAAGAAGTAGTCGAAGAAGAAGTAGAAAGAATTTCCTGTCCTGCGCAGTTGCGGTGTTTGACAACTAAACATGGCGGTGGCGGTGGCAGCGGCGGCAGCGGCAGAGAAGTCAACGAAAGAGCGGCTGCTGTCCACTTTGGATGATTTGGAGGTTTTATCCCGGTAAAGTTGTGATTCTTGTCTTTGTTTTCATACGTTTACGAGGTTTTTTATTCGGTCGGTGAAGATTTCACTTCCAGAGCCTGAGAATCATCATCATCAACAGCAGCAGCGGTCTGTGCTCCTGATTAGCATGTATTCAGATTACAGAGCAAACCATCAGCTTTTCTCTAAGAAAATCAACCAGTAGAGTTTTGTTAAACAACCCAGAAGCTCTCTTAACGTTGTTCTCCAAGTTTTTGCGGGATATTAAAGGACACATAAACATTGAATGTACGACTCCATTCAGACAGTGGTTGTGCTGCTGCCTTTGATGTGAATAGGAAAACAACTTTGCGTCTAAGAAAAAGAGTTAGGATTTATTTTTATCACGCAGAACATTTTAATTTTCATTAGGATTGTTAGAAGAGTCTTTAGCTATTTACCTGTTAATTGTTGTATGTATTTAAGCAACTGCAATAATGGGCAAAAAGAAACTCAAAACGGTTGTAAAAAGACAAAGTAAATGTCAGGTGAAACAAAACTACCACGAAGACATGCAGCACGACCACTACGAGACTTAAGACAACTACAAAATAGACACAGCAACTGCAACATGAAGTCAAGTTTACCTTAAAGAAGTACAAGGCAACTACAGCAACGGTCAAAATATTTGGAAATCTAAACAAAACGACTGCAATGAAACACAAAACAGCCAGAAATGGGGGAAAAACAACAGCAAGTTGAAACAAAAATACCACAAAGACACGTTAAAATGGGTAAATGACCATACGGACTTTAGAAAATATCTGTAAATTGAAACAATANTTTTGTTGACCTTTTACGTGTCAATGCACAGTAACTACTACTACTTGTACTACTACTAGTAATCACAATGACAATACTAGAATGGAAAACACTGTGTTGCAAGTCAAAGCTTTCAGAGTTCTACCAAAAAAAAATGTTTTCTATAAAAAAAAATAATAAAAAAGGATTAGATTAAGGTTTGTGAATTTAATCGAGCAAATCTAAATGTCATGGTTTAGACCCTACAGTGTTTTTAGTCATAGAGAATACCCTAACTAAATAAATAGTGTTGCTAAGACTCCATAGTTTTATAGAGTATTGAAGAAAGCCTAACTAACAGAAATAATCTGGCTAACACTGGCTGGAGATTAATCTGACTTTTGTAGTTTTTGTGAGAATTTCAAGCTTTTTCTGAAAACCCAGCAAACTTGAAATCGAAAAGTGTTTATATTTGAACTTTGTGGGGTGGCACTCGCATCTAGAGTTATTATTTATTGTCTTTTAAGCATTATAGAGCCCTTTCCATCAGACATAAGCTCCTGAATGTGGCACTGGTTTGGTTTGTTTATTTGAGCGTCACTGAGCAACTGTTTGTCTTTGTGCGCTTTTATTTTGGTGTTCCGGATGTGGCCTAGTTTCCGGCAGCTCGACGAGTCTCTGCACAGTTTGTTTAATCAAACATCTGGAATTCTGCTGCTTTCCTCTGATCAGTGTGATTGAAACTGCTCAGCCAGAAACATGAAATAAAGCATTAAAAACAAACATTTATACACACTGACATTCAAATTAAACTCTTCAGCTTCAGCAGTCGTGCAGCAGCTACTCAGAACTTTTACTGAAACAGCAAAACAACAATTGAAAAATACTAAAATGAAAGTAAAATTTCCATATTCTTTGTAAAGTTTTGTGCTTTACTTGAGCATTTCCATTTTATGTAACCCTTCTCCTCCACTGAACTACATTTCAGAGAGAAATACTGCACTTTTACAACGATCTGACAGATGTTGTTCAATTAGAGATTTTACATTTAAAACATACAGGGAGCCCAAAACATGACATTTCAATTCAAGTTTCTTCACAATGAAGTAGCGTCTACTTGTGTCTCCTTGTCACGGGAGTGTTTTCTGCTTTCCTCTACTATTATCTGGTGACTCTTTGGAGGGACCCGACCCCTTGTTTGGAAACCAAATAAAGTTCACATGAGAGAGCAGCTCAGTCTAATGAACACAGAACATACAGCAATGCTTATTTTTCACATTTTAAATGCATGTTGTTGCTGGGTTTTTAGCTAGTCAGTTAGTTTTTGGGCCTTCAGCATTAAACACTCTGTAAAGATGCTGATGTGGTCAGATTCTGTTACACAACAACCTCCGTCAGCTGCTGAAGTGACAGATTTCTGTGGAATAACTGACTAAATGACTCAATTTTCACTTCTGGGAAAAAAACAATTGTGACTGTTGTGTTTAAACAGGAGGAGTTTACTTTGTAGAACAATCATATTTCTATAGCAATTCATGTCTGTAAGTCATACTGAATTAGAATTTTGTTAAAAGTGTTGATAAAAATAAATGTATGCATGCAGTGTTATTTAAACTGACTTGAATTCATTTATTAATAAATGTTTTGTTTATTTTTTA